TGAGCTCAGGGTATAAAGCTTGGATCATTTGTTCTATTTTTTTGTGGACCCTTAATTCTCGGACTTTATCCTGGACACCACCACCATCAGAATATCTAATGGGAGCCTCCAGTTCCCAGCACACCGATTCCCCGGGTATACCACAACATTGGGAGGATGCTAAATTTCCTCCTTCAATAGGTATGGGGGGGTCGCTGGACCCCCAGCGTGGTGTGTGCGGGCCCCCTGGGGCCTCCGCCACACCTGGCTAGTCCCTGGCCACAAGCGATGTGGGGAGGGCGCCTGGGCTCCCGGGCGGGCGCACTCACTCTGGATGTGGCGCGGCGGGTGCGCAGACTTCTCTGGGAAGCGGCTGCTTCAGGTCCCGCGTCTCTGGGAATAGCGGCAGCTGATGGCTACCGCAGTTTCTGGTGCTAAGAGCTTCTCTGCTACTGGAGTATTATCCAGTCGGAATCCCGCCTCTATTACACACTTGTACCTTTCCTCAGGAATGCGGAGTTCCTGGCCAGTGAACTCCACAGGGAAGAGGCACGGAGGCGGCGAAAGCTGGGGTATCCGTGGGCCGATAACGGAGAGTGCTGCTCTCCGGTGAGATCAGGTCGCTGGCAGTAAGACACAAGACTCAAGTCACGGCTTAGTCTGTGTTTACAGCTTTATTGTATGAGGCGGCGAAAGCTGGGGTATCTCTGCTGATCCAGCTTTCTGGGACCCAATCTCCGGGACCCAGTCTCTGACCCGATCTCCGACTATTAAGAGAAGACTAGCATATTTATATACCATGGGGGTAGTGGTAAAAGCTTTTAGATACTTTGTGAGATATTCTATTTACATGTGGAAGTGGGTTTCTGCTAGACTATTGTCTACCTGTAAAAATCATACACAGGAAGGCATGGTATGCATAGAGCCAAAGGCCATGTTTATGTCAAGGCATCTGTGGCGGCCACTTCAAAGGGAGAGACAGGAAAGATGCCAGAAAGCACCTTGCTATGAAAAGGAGCCCGCAGTACATTCCCGAGCTGCATGAGCTGTCCGGTGTGAAGGGGCTTCGACTTTTGCATAACAGAGGTCTCCCAACTGCCCTAGTCTTCTCTTCCTCAGCCAACCAATCATAGGGTGCACCCCATGAAGCCATAGGTGCATGTTTCAAGGAGAGTCAGGAAAGATGCCAGGAAGGCACCCCACTATGAAAAGGAGCCCGCAGCACATTCCCGAGCTGCATGAGCTGTCCGGTGTGAAGGGACTTCGACTTTTGCATAACAGAGGTCTCCCGATAATGGATTGTTGCTGTGCATGGCCTACTTTATGGCTTGTGGGGTCAGATGACATCCAGCTCATGATGGGGAGCTCTGGTCGCACAGTGACTAGGTGGCCCATTGTCAAGCGTTCAGTTTCCACTAAGGCCCAATTGCAGGCTAAGAGCTGTCTCTCAAAGGGAGAATAGTTGTCCACAGATGAAGGCAAAGCCTTACTCCAAAGTCCCAATGGCCTCCACTGTGATTCCCCTATGGGTGCCTGCCAGAGACTCCAAACAGAATCTTTATCTGCCACTGATACGTCAAGCACCATCGGGTCTGTTGGATCATATGGCCCAAGGGGCAGAGCTTCTTGGACAGCAGCCTGGACCCGTTGAAGGGTCCTTTCCTGTTCCAGGCCACACTCAAAGGTAGCTGCCTTCTGAGTCACTTGATATATGGGTCATAGTAATGTTCTTGGCCCCTTTGTCAAATATCAGGTGGCTGAAATTGCATGTACTCATATTTGGGCCTTCAGTTTTGTTCCATTGATGTATGGGTCTATTTTTGTGCCAGTACCATGTTGTTTTTATGACTATAGCTCTGTAATACAGCTTAAAATCTGGTATAGTAATCCCCCTGGCGTTGCTCTTAGTGCTCAGGGTTGTTTTGGCTATCCAAGGTCTTTTGTGCTTCCATATGAATCTTAGGATGGTTTTTCCCAATTCTGTGAAAAATGTCATGGGGATTTTGATTGGCATTGCATTGAATCTGTATATGACTTTTGGTAGGGTGGTCATTTTCACAATATTCTTCTAATCCATGAATGCTCAGTAACTTTTTAGCACCTACCAGGTGGTGTTTCCATTTCTAATGTAGAACCCTTGCTAGCCTCAGCTCTCTCACAGTGGCCCCGTTCCTGCCTATATCTATGCCTCATTTGCCCACTGGCCTGTTCTACCTACATTTCATGTAGGCTGGTTCTCTTGGTATTGCTCTATTTCACTACCATCCTACCTGGTGTCTCTTGAGGTCCCAACAACCTTTTCTCTCATGTATCTACTTCACAGCTGGGTGCCTGTGAGCAGGAACCTGTTGCTGCCTCCTCGCCAGAGTTCAAGCTTCAGGAAGTAGATGGGTAGGTAGGAACTCTAGATAAGCCTGTTAATGAAGGCTGTAGCAATACGGTGTTTTAAATTAAGTTAAATTAATTATTGTGGGGGCTACAGAGGATATGTGCATGCTATGCCATGCATGTAGAGGTCAGAGGACAATTTTGTGGAGTCAATTCTTTCCTTCCACCTGTATATGGGTTCTGAGAATCAAACTCAGGTTGTCAGGCTTGTGTGGCAAGTGCCTTTACCCACTGAGCCATTTCATCAGCCCTAGTGATGTTTTTTGTATGTCTTTTGTCATTGAGACTCCTTTCTGGTTTCATAGGCACAGTACTGTAGCACATACACATTCCTTAGTACCTAGACTGGGTTGGTTTGTGTTTTGGAGGTCAGAGTACTTTTTGAGTACCAACTGGACTACGCTTATTTATCCCACTTTGAGATGAAGCCCAGAGTCCTGACATTGTTGCTGATTTGTTTACCAGCAAGCCCAGTGCTGTGAAGACAGGCAAGGAGAAGACACACTGTGAGTAGACCAAAGTAGTCGGTCTTCCAAGCCACAGGGCCCAGGTCTAACATTCTGCCTCCTTGTTCTAGGCAATGCATACTTGTTCTTTCGGTGTGTGTGTATATGTAGGGGAGGCTGTGTGTGCTCTCGTCCATGGGGGACTCTGGTTGGCTCATGTACACAACTCCCCAACCCCCCGCCATTGAACAGTAGTGTAATGTGGAACATTTAGTAGGCTAGCCTTTCATTATGTCTGTGTTAGCAAATGTGGTTTTTTTGTTTGTTTGTTTGTTTGTTTGTTTTTGGTCTTTTTGAGACAAGGTCTCCCTGTAGCCCCAGCTGTCCTGGAACTCACTATATAGACCAGGCTGGCCTTGAACTCACAGAGATCCACCTGCCTCTGCCTCCCAAGTACTGGGATTAAAGGTATGTGCCACCATGCCCGGCAAGCAAATGTGTTTTAAAGTTTTTGGTTTTTTTTGTTTTTTGTTTTTTTTTTCCAGGCTAGTGTGAACTGTCTTCTGTTGTTCTCAGAAGTTGTTAAAGTTGGAACTGGTCTTTGGCCTCATTAGGAGGAGTACATGCATTATTCTGCAGACTCTTGCCTTGGGAGTAGTGGGAGATAACTTCATTTTATGGGGGAACTGGGGCCTACTATACGCAGATTTAAGAGTTGGGTAGGGACTCAGGTCACTCAGTGTATAGAAATAGAGACTGGCTGACCACCCAGGCATCTAATGCACACTTGACTTGATGCTGGTTTTAAGCAGTTTCTAGGGACAGCCCCTCTGCCCTTCATGCCAGGGGCTTCTCTTTGTTTCATGGCAACCATCTTTCCTGTTCTTTCTTCCCATGGCTCTACCCTTTCACTCTCATGTTTAGCTGCTACCCATTGTTCTGCCGAGTGCCTCTCCCTTCATTCCTCTCCAGGCCCTTAGCCAGTCTGGCTTGCCGGGGATAGCACCTGTCTAGCAGGAGTAGCTGCTCTGCATGGCCCATGCCTGGGCAGACTTGCTAGTGTATATAAACATCTTTTCTTCTTTTGTATTTCAGTGAGGATGCCATGAGGAAAGCTGGTGTGGCCCACAGTAAATCTAGCAAGGATATGGAGAGTCATGTGTTCCTGAAGGCCAAGACCCGGGTAAGACCCTGTTGGCCGGAGCCCCCAGCAGAGCAGCTCCAGGAGGGGAGTGTTTTGGATTCTGAGAACTTTCTACTTGGCCAGGGGGAGTGGTTGCTTATTGATCTCTGATATAGCTGACTGTGCCTGCAGCACTCTGGGACCTCCCATGTGTCCATGGAGTAGGCAAGACTTCTAGGGAGGCACTGAGGATGCAGGCCCTGCCTCTGACCTGGCCTCGCTATTACCCCTGCCATATATAGTCAGCCCTATGAGTCCTATAGGTAGCTTCTTGAATCCTACTGCTCTTGTGAAAAAAGAGCTGGCTTTCTTCTCCCTGAGCCTACACAATCCCTGATGAAGGGATCCAGGGTCAAGTTGTTCAGTGAGGCAGGTAATGCTTGGTAAAATGAGGCTGGAACTTCCTAGGTGGAGTTGGAAGAAGAATTTCCATTGTGGACTTTCCCCCAGGCTGGCTACAGCACTTTGGCCTACACATGACCTTCTCCCAATGTGTTGGTTCCCAGAGGTGGAACCATTTTATTACAAATCAAGCAAGGGGCTGGAGAGATAATAGCTCAGCAGTTAAGAACATGTACTGTTCTTGCAGGGGATCCATTTAGTTCCTAGCGTCTTTATTAGGTGACTTAGAATGGCCTCTTAACTCCAGCCCCAGTGGATCCTCTGGTCTCCGTAGACATCTTACTCATGTGTATATATATCCACACACACAAATAAAAATAAATGGCAGAAATGAAGTGAAAGTCAAGTAGAGATGAAGAATGTATCTTTGTGCACATGTGTATGCAAGGAAGAGTTCCAAGAGTTCATAAGCTGAAATGGGTAGGGGTGCGCTCTGTTCTCTGGATCTGTGATATACATTCTGCTTTGAGCCAGGCATGGTGGCACATGTCTTTAATCCCAGCCCAGCATTTGGGAGACAGAGACAGAGGCAGGAAGATCTTTTTGAGATCAAGGCCAGTGTGGTCTACATAGTTCCAGACCAGCTGTGGCTACAGAGAGACCCTGCCCCCTCACCTCCTGAAAAAAGCATTATCGAAGTCAGATTTAAAATTCACCCATTTAAGGTGTACAATTTAGTTATCTAGGCTATTCAGAGTCACATGGATAATTACTGTACCGTAATGTTAGAATAATGTCCAAAAGAAGCTTGATATAGGGCTGGAGAGATGACTCAGAAGTTAAGAGCATTTGCTGCTCTTGCAGAGGACCCGGGTTTGATTCCCAGCACCTACATGACAGCAAACAACCTTTCAAAACTCCAGTTCCAAGCCTCTGAGGGCACCAGGCATATTTGTTGTACACATATATACATGTAAGCAGAACACATAAAATAAATCTTTTTTTTTTTTTTTTAAAAAAAAGAAGCTTAATACCCATTAGCAGTCATACCCTATTTCACCCCAGTTATTAGCAACCACTTATTTTCTGTTTCTATAAGTTTGTGCATTCTGAACTTTCTTTTGTTTTAATATTTTGTTTATTATTTTTATTTTATATATATGAGTGTCATGCAATGCCCATTGAGGTCAGAAGAGAGCATTAGATCCCCTGGAACTGGAGTTTGGATAGTTATTAGCCACCATGTATGTACTGGGAATCAAACCTGGGTCCTCTGGAAGAGTAGCCAGGGCTCTTAACCACTGAGCCATCTCTCCAGCCCCCTGAACTTTATTTATAAATGCAATCATAATAATCTTTTTTTGCAACTGATTTCTTTCATACAGCATAATGTCAGGGTTCACATTTTAACTATGTTGTAGTGTATACCTGATTCTGACTGACTTGGAACTTGCTGTATAGACCAGACTAACTTCATGAAGATCTTCTGCCTCTTATTTCCCAAGTGTGTGCTACTGGTTTTTTTTTCTGAATGTTATTCCATTTTGAATGGCTATGTCACATTCTGTGTATCTGTATGTCAGTTGGTGGTCATTTGGGTTTTTTCACTTTTTGACTGCCATGAATAATGTTGCTATTTTAAATATTCACATACAAATTTTTATGTAGATTTACTTCATTTCTCTTGGGGAAATGAAAACTCCCGGCATATCTAGGGAGAGAGTTGTTAGATCATGTGATAACTCTTGTTACCTTTTGAGGGACTGCTAGATGTTTTCCAAAGTAGTTGTACTACTTGAAACTCACCATCTGCTTATAAGGTCCCAATTTCTCCAGCACTTGTTAACTTAATTTTTACTATAGCCATCACTGTGTGTGAAATGGTATCTCATTGTGGTTTTGATTGGTGCTTGTCTGGTGAGTAATGATTTTGAGCATCTATTCATGTGCTTTTGGGCCATTTGTAAATTTTCTTTGAAGAAATATTCATTTTTGTACTTTGCCCATGTAAATAAATGGAGTTGTTGGTCTTTTTATTGTTGGATTTTAATACTTCTTTATGTATTTGAATACATAATTCATATAATTTGCTAATATTTATGATATGGAGTTGTTTTTTTTTGTTGTTGTTGTTGTTGGTTTTTTTTGTCTTTTTGAAGCAGGGTCTCCCTGTAGCCCCAGCTGTCCTGGAACTCACTATGTAAACCAGGCTGGTCTTGAACTCACAGAGATCCACTTGCCTCTGCCTCCCAAGTGCTGGGACTACAGGTGTGAGCCACCATGCTCGGCTAATATGGAGTATTTTTATTGTTTGGACACTTTTTTTTAGTTTTTGTTTGTTGCTACTGGGGACTCATGTATGCTAGGCAGGTGCCCTATTACTGAGCTATGTCCCCAGCTTTATTGTTTAGAATTATTTTATTTTATTTTTTGGTCTTTTTTTGAGACCAGGTCTCCCTGTAGCCCCAACCAGCCTGGAACTTGCTATGTAGACCAGGCTGACCTTGAACTCACAGCCTTCTGAGTGCTGGGATTAAAGATTTATGCCACCACACCCAGCATTTGTTTAGATATATAGTTAAAAGAACATTGACAGGTTTGTTGAATTGTCTCAACTTTTAAAATATAGACATTTGCCAGGCGTGGTGACGCACACCTTTAATCCCAGCACTCAGGAGGCCGAGGCAGGCGAATCTCTGTGAGTTCAAGGCCAGCTTGGTCTACATAGTGAGTTCCAGGACAGCTGGGGCTACAGGGAATATATATATACACACACACACATACATACACACATTGATTTAGCTTTGTTTATTATCTATTAGTTTGTAAGAAACTAAAACTCAGTAACTTAATTCTCCTGGCTCATCAGGAGTTGGGGTGGGTGGGATTGCCTGGCTGGGCTGCTCTACTGCTCTCATTTCTGACTTTTCTTGTGACTGCTTTTAGGGGGTGGCTAGGCTAAGCTGAAAGGTCCATAAGGCTTCACTCACATGACTGACTGCATGTTGATTTTACCAGTCTCTAGTAGCATAGCTGAGAGCTGAGACTTCATTGCAACACTGTGGTTGTGTTTCAAGAGGAGAGAGTAGCTTCTAGTCTTCAGAGGTCCTAGAACATTCTTTGAATACAGGAAGTCTTAAGGCCAACACAGGTTTAGGGGAGGAAAAGTTGCCTCTACGTTTTGGTGTGAGCAGTAGCCTATGCATGTAGGGAGTCCGGCAATGATTGTTGCATAGCTATCCCAGAGACTAGCCACCACAGAGAGCTTTCTGGTAGCTGATGAGTAAGCCTTAGCTCCTGGAGGAGGTGCCAGTCACCACTGCAATTCACTTTGCCTTGGGCTCTGAATTACTACACATTGATTTTTTTTGGTCTTTTTGAGACAGGGTTTCCCTCTAGTCACAGCTGGTCTGGATTTGCTCTGGAGACCAGGCTGGCCTCAGACTCACAGAGATCTGTTTGCCTCTGCCTCCCAGGTGCTGGGATTAAAGGTGTACACTACCACACCTGGCTTACACGTTGATTTTATAAGCTATGCCTTAATGATTTCAGCCCATTTCCTCTGATCTCTAAATCCCTCACTCCATAAGGAGGCCCCAACTAATTGAAAGAAAACTGTTTATAAGAGCAGTGTTGGCTAATTTCTGTGGGTTTTTTTTTTTTTTTTTTTTTTTTGGTCTTTTTTGAGACAGGGTCTCCCAATAGCCCCAGCTGTCCTGGAACTCACTATGTAGACCAGGCTGGCCTTGAACTCACAGAGATCCTCCTGCCTCTACCTCTGCCTCCCAAGTGCTGGGATTAAAGGTGTACACCACCATTCCAGGCTCTGTGTATTTTTTATAGAGACAGTGTGCTTCTGCACTGCTGATCTGATTTCCATCATTTTCCCTGATACTTAAACTCCCTGTGGTGGTAGGTTCCAGTTAGTGGAGTGAGGATGTTCCTACCCAAGATACTTTGATAGTTCAGGTGCACTTAGACTTGCCCCTGGTTCCCAAGGCTCTGTTACAACAGTTGTAAAAGAGATTTAAAGGGTAGGACTCTGGCCAGGCATGGTAGTACACGCCTTTAATCCCAGCACTTGAGAGGCAGAGGCAGGGAGCTCTCTGTGAGGTTGAGGCCACCCTGGTCTACATAGCAAGTTCTAGGCCAGCTGTGGCTACAGAGAGACCCTGTCTCAAAAAGACCAAAAAAAGGGGGGGGGGTAGGACTCTGGAGCAGTGAAAAGAATGGGATGATGGGATGATGAAGAATTACAAAGTCATGAGTAATCAAGCTTGCAAGTCCAAAGGCTCCACCCTGAAGGAAGTCAGAGTTCTACTAGGTACTCCAGGCTGTCCAGTGTAGACCTAAGGCAAGGAGAGCCATGAGTGCTCTTATCTGGAAGAGTTTACCAAACTTCTGGTGGGAAGTGGGCACAGGTCTCCTCCTTTGTGGACTTTAGTTCCCCCAAGTTAAAGCTGTTCTCATTTTGACATTCTCTGGCTTCAGGTCTTATGGCTGGAGCCCATTTGTAGACTGTAAAGTGATGTCCCCTGGTAAGGCCATGTTCTTAGTACTTCAAATATATGAACCCATCTGATCCCCACTCAGTCCTATAAATGGTATATTAGTTACTTTCCTTGTTGCTATGATAAAATAAAATACCCGTCAAGAAG